CTTAAAAATATAATACAAAGCTAATCTGTTATACAGATAGTGCAAAATAAAGATCTAAGCTAAAAGAGATCTAAAGAGAGATAATCCAATCAAAATTATTACAAACTCTTTCAGAAAAAATCTAAAAAATCTGAAAAAAATATATGTTAAATTAAAAATTTATTTTAATACAAAAATAAAAATTATTTCTTATTAAAATTATAAATTTTAATATAGAAAGAAAATTTCAATTTTTATTATGTTTTATTAGTAAATTTAGTCTCTGAGTTATTACTTTTGATCACTACTGTAAATAATAATTATAAAAATAATAATCTATTAACTAAATTATAATAATAAAATAGGAATAAAAAAATTTTTATTTAAAAATTAATTAATAATTTATTTATTTTATATTATACTTAATATTTAAAAAATAATATAGTATAATTTTTAATATAGTATAATTATTATAATTTAATTAATTTGCAAATTAATTAATTAAAGATTTATTATATTTTAATTAAAATATTCTAAATTTAAATAAATATAAATATTATTAATTTTAAAAATTAAGAATAAAATTTAAAATTAAAAATCTTTATTTTATTATTTATAGTAGCCATCAAAAGTAATGCAACGCTTAAATTTTTTACTAATTATAATTAGTAAAAAATTTAAGCATTGCATTACTTTTGATGGCCATTGTATATATTATTAAAAAATAAGTTTTAACTAAAAAAGTAAATAAAAAATTAATTCTTACTTTTTTTAATTAAAATTTATTTTTAATAATAAATAAAAGTTTTTTAATTTTAAAATTCACTTTTATATTTTTAAAATTAGTAATATTTTGAATTTTTTAATAATAAAATATTAATTTATATATTTTTTATAATTATTTATACTTAGTAAATAAAAGTTTATAATTAGTAATAATTTATATATATAAAATATAATAAAAATTAAAATAATTTTTTTTTATATTAAAATATTCAAACTTTTTAATAAATAATTTGAATATTTTAATATAAAGAAATTATTTTAGTTTTTATTATATTTATATAAATAAATTATTTTTAATTACAGATTTTTATATATAAATATATATTTATTTATATTTAAAATATTTTAATTAAAATATTTTTAATTATATAAAAAAATAATTATTTTTATATTTATTTATAAATATTTTTAATTATAATAAATTAAATATAAAAATAAGTATTAAAAATAAATAAATAAGAAAATAATAATAATAATTAAAAAAATTATAATTATAAAAAAATAAATAATTAATAATTATAATATTATTATTTATTAATAAAAAAAATATTTTATTAAAAAATATACTTAATAAAATAGTTTTAATAAATAAGTTTTTTTATATTTTTAATAATTAATAACTTAGTTTATATTAATTAATTAATTAATTAAATTTATTTGAAAATTAATAAGATAAATAATAATTTTAATTTTTTATTATATATTATATATTATAAAAGAATAAAATTTATAAATTATTTAAGAATTTTAAAAAATAATTATTTTAAAATTAAAATTAATTTTATAATTTAAAGTTATTTTTTTTATTATTTTATATAATAATTTTATAAAAAAATTAATTAATTTTTATTATTTTATTTTTAATTTTCAAGAAATATTATTAAGTATAGTTAAATTTTTTTATAATTATATTTCTTTAAATTATATTTTTTGTAATTATTTAATTTGAATTTTTCAAATTTTAAGTAATAATTAAATAATTTTTTTATAGTTATAGTGATAATGCAATACTTTAATTTGATTATCACTATATATAATAATTTAATTTACTTTTTCAAGAATAATTATAAAGATTTGAAAGATACTTTACAAATGAATAAAGTTATCAAGATTATTATAAATTTGAATTTTTTATTGTTTTAGCAAAATTCCTATTACATGTATAATAAATGTAATAATTGTGAGAGATCACGATGAATGCGAATCATGAAAATTTTAACCAAAATTATGCAGATCGCGCAGATCATATGGCCAGAATTATCATAAAGAAAAAAAATAATATCTAAATTAATTTTCATCATGATCCTTTCACATCATGATCCCTACAATAATTATAAAATATTTCATGAACTACTTTGTGTTTCATGAAGCAATCATGATATGTGAAAATCTCGTGTTTTTAGAAATATATACAGCTTAAGTTTCTTTCAAAAACAAAATTATGATAAGAAATCAAACCATTAATAAATAAGATAACAAACTACGGATATTCTAATTTGCATCACCGCCATCATGAACTTAAGCAGCACATCAATAAAGATGCTGTTTCAGATATCATTAATCTATTATTTTCTATCCTCCTAATGTGCATAGTACATGTATGCACGAAAAATACAAAGGTTTCAGCATTTATATTAACGTTAAAATCTCACGTACTTTAGACAAAAAAAAAACAAAAATAAACATACCACCATTATTATGTGATACCCAAATTTTGTTTTTATCTAAAGATTTGAAAGAAAATATTACAAAATTAATCAAGTGAATACAAAAGAAACCATGATAATAACTTACTGGTGGATTAGTAATTATAGGATTATCTGAACATTTTCATAAATAAAAATATCTTATTTAAAACATAAACAAATACAACATTTCAAAGATAAGTAATGACCCTCGCTCACCTAACGTGCTCGGTTGTAATGCAAATGCCGCTTCTTGGAACTCACCAACCATTGATCCTCTTGTCATCCAACCCAAACTTCCTATTATGCGAGATAACATATAGTCAACGAATTCTTCTCCAATAATTCTCATATACACTCTGGTATATACCTCCTTGTTTGGCTTTATCTTCACTATACAATTCAGCGACCTATATAACAATGATAATTAAATAAGTGAAAATTAATGCATGTACATGTTTAATCAAAAAATAAATACCTTATCAAATCTAATATTCTCTTCGATTATTTTTTGTAGTGCTTCCATGGCCTAATGTAGAAAAAAAAATTAATTATTGATTATATTTGAAGTTAGATTCATCAATAAAATTAATTGACCTTTGAATGTTTTTCACATAATATATGTCGGACCTACATCATCAAATTCGAATAATGAAATCATTTCTTTGATTAGAAAGAATAAATACGAAACACATGTTGTCCACAAACCTTTATTGAGTTGGCTGCCTTCAGTTTCCCACTTTTTCCAGACTTTTCATCATCTAATATTTTACAAGCTTAAATAAAACGCGGTGAACTTGCATTTTTGCTATTCTATTAACAGGCTTACCACCAGCATCTGACCCCTTTTTCCCACTTTTTGAAGATTTACTTGCAGCAGCATCTTTGTTCCCTTTAGTTACCTTATTCCCGCTTTCTTTATTCCCACTTTTTTTATCTTTTCCCATTTTGTCAAGTAATTTATTTTTTGGTTAAATGAAGATCTACGTAATTGCATAATTATTACTCGATCTAATCCATCATTTATATCATTTATCGAAATTCTTTCATGTCTTTTTTCAAGTTCGGTTTTAATCGTTCGCTTGCTCGAAATTTAAGTTTACAGATAAAGCAAGAGGTACTCATATAATATTAGTTCGAATTCTTTTCTTTAGCGCACGTTACGTGAAAGGGTGATAAAAGTTGTTTTCTACTACGCTTTGTAATATTAGTCATATAAAAATAACAATATGGTAGCAAGAAAGTTCTCAGCTGCAAGTTCCTCAAAAGCGGCAGCCGCTGTATCTCCTGCTCCGAAAAAACCAACAATCCCATATCCGGTTGATACTTCAGTCGGACCAATGTACCGTTATCAAAAAGCATTACCTCGTCTGCCAGTTCCTGCGTTAGCTAACACCCTCGATGTATATTTAAAATCAGTCCAGCCACTTGTAACTGAGGAACAATACGCGAAGACGAGACAAGCCGTTGAACAGTTCAAAAAACCTGGTGGAGTTGGAGAAGAGCTTCAAAAACGTTTGTTGGCGAAAGCTAATGACCCTAAGGTCGTGAATTGGTTAGAAGATTGGTGGAATGATTTAGCTTATTTCGGGTACAGGGATCCGGTGGTGGTTTACGTGAGTTACTTCTTTGCCTACAAAGATGATAAATTAAGAAAAGATCCGGCAAGTCGCGCTGCTTCAATTATTACTGCCGCTTTAGAGTTTCGGAAACTAGTTTTAAAGTAAGAGATTAGTTGCATTTAATGATTATTGGCAATTCGTTTGTTAATACGATTGATTCTTTCTTTATAGTGAACAGCTTGAGCCCGAATACGCAAAAGGTCTTCCTCTTTGTATGGACTCTTACAAAAATATGTTTCACGCTTGTAGATACCCAACGAAACCATCAGATTGCGAAAAAGTTTACGATCCTAACACTTATAATCATATAACGGTGATTCGGAACAACAAATTTTACATTGTGGAATTGGCCAAAGATGGTAAACAATTGTCTACGGCAGAACTCGAAAGGTATGTCAATTTATTTACATTAGACGACGCGCCTCGAAACAAAATTAACGCGATTTTGATCTCTTCAAGTCAAATCCGTAAAATCTATGATCTGGCAGGTTATACTAAAGATCCCGCTCTCGGTGCGCTTACGTCAGAAAACAGAGATATCTGGACAGAGGTGAATTTTATTTTAATTTTTTTTACACTCTAATGTTTTTCACGCTCTAAGGTTTTTCGAGTTTAATGATATATATATCTTTTCTATAGGCCCGTAAAAAATTCATAGCTGCAGATCCAAAGAATGAAGAATTATTGCGCAAGATTGAAACTTCAGCCTTTGCAGTTTGTTTGGATGACACAAGCCCAATCACGCGGGAAGAAATTAGTCATGCTTGTTGGGTTGGTGATGGTCGAAATCGTTTCAATGATAAATCTCTTCAGTTCATTATTTTTGAGAATGGAAAGGCTGGTTTCATGGGCGAGGTATTTTATATTGATTCAATCACGTTCCCTTGTACTATCTAGTATTTCTAATTCTCATTGTCTATAAAGCACTCTTCAATGGACGGTACCCCCACATCCCGCCTGAATGACTTTGTTTGCGATGTTATTGCCAAGAATAAAGTTGATCATGGATCTGCGGATGTTCGACCTAATCTATCAGCGCCATACAAATTAGAATTCACCTTCAACAAAGAAATTGTCGACATCATTCGAAATGCAGAAAAAAACTTCGATGACCTTGTTGCCAAGCATGATCTTCGCGTGCAAGCATACCAAGGCTATGGCAAGAATCTAATAAAGAAACTTGGTTTTTCACCGGATGCATATGTACAGATGATTATACAATTGGCCTACTATAAAACTTACGGTCTCAGTAGGGCTACGTATGAGAGTGCGCAAACGAGAAAATTCCAGCATGGAAGAACAGAAGTTTGTCGTACGGTATCGAATGATTCGGTGAAATGGGTTAAAGCGATGGAGGATCCTCATGTTTCGGTATGAATAAGAATGATTAGTTTTGCATCTGTGTATGTGCAAAGAATGAATTCAATTTTTTACATTATTTAAGATTGAAGAAAAAGCAAATTTGGGGAGAAAAGCAATTGAGGCTCATGTTAAATACATGAGCGAAGCTGTAGAAGGACGAGGTTGTGATCGCCATTTATTAGGTAAGTCATTATCGTAATCATTATAATTTTTTTCTCAATTAATTAATTGTGCAATTTTTTTTAATAAAATAGGGCTTCGTCTCTCTCTAAAACCCGGTGAATCCATGCCATCAATCTTTACTGATCCCGCATACGCCACATCCACCCATTGGAACCTCTCAACCTCACAGCTGTCGTCCGAATACTTTGTCGGTTATGGTTGGGGTGAAGTAGTACCTGATGGCTACGGTATTGCATACATGATCAATAATAATTTCCTCAACTTCAATATTGTATCGATGCATTTACAGAATGATAAGATGTGGCATTACTTGAGAGAAGCTGCTGATGAGATGCGTGAAGTGTTTGAATATGCACAGGCGAAGCGTAATGAAATGTCTTCTAAATTATGAATCTGCACGGTGTGTCGATTATAGTCATTAGTGCAATAGGAGTATTGTTGACAATACTTTTATTTGATCGGACTTTTCGTTTTCTAGTTAGAGATACAATGTTAGTAATTATTTATTTAAACTATTTAAATACAGTCATACCTGGGCTATAATCTCGACTTTTATTCTATGTTTTTCAAATTTTTTTTGGGATGTATCTGAATATCATTTGTTCCTCTCAGATGTAGATAAGAAAATCAGCCTCTGATCCGAAAATTCTGGGTTCGGGAACCAATAAATTGCAGAAAATTTTGAAGTAACACAAAATTTTTACTATATTTGACTAATCAGAACACATATTAATATCATGTAATATTTCAATTCTAACACTATTAAATAATTATTATTATATTTAAATCAGATTTCATACCGTAAAAAGCTGTGCAAACTACCTCTCCCTGTATCATACCCCCATGATCCAGACCCGGTATTTTATATTCTACTCATGCTCAATTAAGGAAATTCGATTCATATGATAAAATAATAAATACAAAACTACATGTACTAATGATCGTTGCATTTTAAATTGATATGGTATTTTTACGAGTTTTAGTTTACTACATGTGTCATTATTATAATCTCCATTACCCTTTTACACAAAAATCCCCAATATAAAAGACCCTTTCTCCTTATAATATATCCACCAGGTATAAATCAATTTACATGAGGGTAGAATGTCGTTTTTACGGTAAATTGGTACGATCTGTCTTATTTTAGTACATGTGCATGGTTGATGTAGAAAAAATGTTTATTTGTACAGGTATATTGCAATATAGAGAATTATTTACATAATACAGGTATATTACCATATAGAGACCATTGTGTTCGGACCGACTTTTGACAGAGTCGAATAGAACTGGTCACAGCAATTGACCGAAACGAACGAACAGAGTCGATCATTATTAGAAAGTTAAACCGGACCGAAGTTAGCTTAAGTCGGACCGAGTTGCCAAATCGTGATGTAATGCGTTTCAAATATGGTATAGTGAACAACTATAAATGATTTCGGTCCGATCAATGACAGTTGCTTGATTTGATTCTCCTAAGTAATAAAAAATGCCACCAAGAACGCGAGCTACAACCTCTTCGTTTTTTTCAAACTTTTTTTCGTCCAAACTTTATGCTGGTAAGTTATCATGGCAGTAACAACGAATAAAAGCTAGAATGTGAATATTAATCTGATCGATAACATCAGTGGTTGGAGCTTCTAATGATCCGACAAAATATGGAAACAAGGTTTTAAAGTGGTATGTATTTATATATATATATCATGCGTAATATTGTATCGATGCTTGATAATAATTCAATATTAAAAAGGTATATTGCGAATCAACGTCCAACGATACCTGTTAATCCTGTAAGCGCAACAGATTCTTCAAATTATTATTAACTAATCTGATAAAGACACCTTAATTCCCATTTATAATCAGAATGAAACCACAGTTGAAGATCTACAATGCGTCCCAAATCTAAGCTCAATAATTCCGCTTGACGCGAAAAACACGTCTGTTTCAGTTATCACGCCGGGAAAAATCACTAAACAGATTTTGGAAGAGGCTGCAAAAGTAAATAATTAATCTTATTATTACAGTATCAATTACAAGTTAATGTGCATTTTAAACTTATATATTTAACATGTCTTATCGGGATAGTTGGGAATCAGACGTGTTTGGTTACAACCGGGAGCAGAGTTTCCTGATTGTGGCGAGTTTGCTGAACGCGTAGGCATCGATTTAATTTATGGAGGACCTTGCGTTTTGGTTGATGGGCCAAAGTTTATAGTTAACAGTGTGATTTAATTTTAAGGAGTGTATGTACTTTTGTTTTAATGTCATGTATTTTTGGTAATAAAAAATTTATTTATTTTTATCGATTATTTTTACATGATATATACATATATATAGATAGATATATTAATTAATATTAGCAATCAGTTATCATACTAATTAAGTACTAACACCAATAATCATCTCGAGCATGTCAGACATAGAAACAAGCCCGATAGGTTTGTCAGTGTTATCTTCAGTGACCCATACACGATGAATGTTATTGTCCAAGGCCATTTTCATGATCTGAGCGAGAGGCGTATTTTCGTCGCATGAAACTGGTTTTCTTGAATGTCCTCGAACTTTTTTAAGGAATTCGGTCACTTCCAGGAACCCATCTGCCAAATTATCAGCGGTAATGAAACGAATGTCGGATGCAGAAAGATTGTCAACCAATTTTATAGTATAATCACTTTTATCCACGACCGCAACCGAAGATACATGATGAACAGACTAGGAACAAAGATCGATACATGTATCGATAGTAAGTATCAGATAAGGATTAGCGTGAAGATAAGAACAAATCGAGAAGAATATTTACCATGGTTCTAAATGCATTAAAAGCACTAACATCTTTCACTACAGACACGACATAAGTGGATCTTCCAGAAGCATTTGGTAAACGATGAACTGGTTGATTAGGATCATCTTTCTTTGTGAAGGTGATCCAAGCACGTTGCATGACTTGTTTCGCTGGTAATGTATCCAAATTTCCATGACATCGCACAACATCATTATTTAAGAGGAGATTGATAGCATCCCATTGAGTGGCAATTAATGCTTGTTGAACATCCGACTCCACTCGTTCTTGATCTGCAAAGGAGACCAAATTCCCATAGAAATTTTCACCACCAGCTCCCATTCCCTAAATTCAAAAAGATATCGTTACATTACCACGAGCTAATAGCCATCTTGAGCAAAGTACTCACACGAAGTGCGACCAATAAAGGATCGGTCACGTGATAAACTCGAAACGGTCTGTTAGACGCAACGGCACCAATCACATCCTCTATTTTACTCTCATAGAGCTTGGCCAACTCTTCCTTGTACATTGGATCAATTTGGTAGAAATTACGTAACAACATATAACGCATCACATCCATCACATTGATAATCGCCACGAATTTTCCTTTGGTCGTATCGAAAATTGGCAAACTGACAACATTATGATTACGGAATTGTGCAAGCGCCAAGGCAATTGTGTCGGTGGTGCGTGCATAGACTAGTGGTTGGAATGGTTTGTCTTTTGGTTGTGGAACTAATACGCTCACTTGGAATTTATGGAGTTCATCTAGAACTTTGGAAGATTCGATAAGACCAACGAGCTTGGTGCGTGGTGTAGTCATTATATTTTTTTATTTCCGAGTAAAAAAATCAATAGCTTTTGCTATTTTTCAGTTGTTAAAATACTGGGAAAAAAGACGTCTCATACCATTTGAACGTGAGAATTTTTCGCGGCGTAAACTTTGATGTCATATTTGTATTTTCATATGATCATTTAAGATTATTACTGTTCAAACATAGTGAGGATGTGACGAAGATGGATTGTCAATGTCAATAAAATCATGTCTGCAATAGTAGACGTGGCGGTGGGATTAAATCAATTTCGAACTAATTTACTCTAAATAGTCTAAAGGCTTACATGGTGCATATGTACATGAAACAATTTATTTTATTTCGACGACTTCCCCTCGCGCTTGTTTTCATTCATGCGATAATTCTCTCGTACTTTGGATTTGCAAAGGGCTTGAATCTACATGTTTGGGATAAATTGTTACATTTTTCGGGTTTGGTATATTTCGTGTTGGTAAGAATCAAAATTTAATGAGCGCTGTTTGTTTTTGGTCGAGGAAAAAAAATGATGATAATATTAACGAGAATGAAACTGAGGATTCATTTCGGGTTCAAATCATAAGAACGCCACAAATACAGTCGTGCCTCTTCTATAAGAACACAATTGGGCCAGAAAATCTAGTTGTTCTTATCAAGAGATGATTCTTAATATATACTAATTCGATGGTTCTCAAAATATAGTGTTATGAGATATTAGGTCTTCCTGTTAATATTTAGTGAGATTGTTTAAAGAATGTTGTCTGTGTATTTTCATACTTACGAATAAATTATCGTTATACGTATTTTTTAATGTATTCCTTGCATTAGTATAGAGTATTCGAATTGCACAATATTTTGATAGTCCAGTATTATTTATTCACATTGTCATTTTAAATGGAAATTTTTATTTTTTTGATGAAGGCAAATTTACTAGCGCTAGATCACATTTTCGGTCTGTTGTCTGTGAATAACTTCGTTACATGTATTTGCAACAGGTTTAGAGTCCATTTGACGTCAGATTTGCGAAAAATGTGTATTTTTTAGTTACCGTTAGTTATTTATTGTAATCTTGTAAATATATTATAATTACATGCATTGACGAAAAATTATTCAATCAACCTCATCCAAATTATTATTCCCACTGCCAAAATACGGCTCGAAATACTTATCGTGCATTATATGGATTCCTTTAGACAAATATGACGTGTAGACAGCAACCCATCTAGGCGCACGTATCCCAAGCTTCACTGAAATTATAAAAAACAACATGCCGATCGAGAAAGCTGGTAAGAACAGAGTGTAAAGTAGTGCTTTTCCTATTTTTTTCCTGGTGTTGGTTATTTTGTATGGCGTAATTTTTGTGGCGAGGTATGTTTGATAGTTGAAATTCATGTTATGTTCGCGTGCTCCTTCTTTCAATATGTTGTGGTACCTGGAAACCGAGAATTTTAATTAGCATCAAATTAATTTATTTATTTATTCGTCATTGCATTAGAAATACCTTTCAGAAGTCTGCAAATCAGTTGAAATACTTTCTGGTCTCGAAATCAAAGTTTTTGCGACAATTTTCTCTCCATCATACGTCACGCATTCGACCTCAAGTTCGTTATACCCTCTTGGAACATCATCCCATCCCCATCCACCTTCAGACCTTATAACTCGCTGATATTGCTCTTTAGAGATTTTATAAAGTACACCTTGAAGCACGGGAGGCAACGAATCCATGGGATTTTTTTCGTCCCATTCGAACGGGATGCCTGTATTGCAACGACGATGCACTTCCCAGGCGTATTCTCGTGTTATTATTGGGTGGCTACCGTCTGCTGGTGTTGGTGGAGAGAAATGAAAGATATTTGCAAAGCACGGTTCCGTATAAGGAAATCCTCGGAAATCAAATGATAGAAAATAGTTGGGCACGTGGCATGCACGCGAGAGTTTGGGCTTTATGCCTCGGAGTTCGATGAAGATTTTTGTGTTCATGTTACTTCCGTATGCTTTTGATTTGAATGTGATTTTAATTCGAATCATTAAAAATCATTATTCGTTCAGCAAAAATTCTGAGTTCGTTTAATTACCTAAATACCACAGATAGTTCTTTTCATCTTCCTCTTTTTCAGGGTTATTTTGAGTTATGTTGATTTCATTTTCATTTGATTCATTTGATCCATTTACCTCGTGCTGATTTCCGTTGTCATCTATGTAAATCATAGTAGAGCCGTATGATGTGCTATTCTCTTCATAATTGGATGTAACGGTCTGGGTGGTTGTAAGTAGTGGTGTGGTTTCTGTTGTTGGTTCCATTATTGATAACTACGATTTAAACTTCAATGATCGCGATTTTAAAAATTAAAAAAAAACCAAAATTTACGAAATCAAATATTAAATAATAATGTTGTTATTATTAACAACGATGTTGTTATCGTTATTTAAATTATAAAATGAATTACAAATGAGTTGAAAACAAAGTATACAAATTGTCGGTATTTATAGGCATATGTTATTGTTATTTACTTCAATTTTGAAGAAAAAAAGGGAGAAAAAGAAAGCGACAATAAATAGCCTATTAGAGACGCATAATCATGTAAGTGTACGGAATTTTCATTCCCTTTGTTCACTAAAGCAATAAAAACAGGGAGCATTCTTGGACGATTACTGTTCGTTATTACACAAATACTAAATTTGTCTATTAAAAATAATAAGATCGGGCCGACTTGTTTCCAAGGACAGAGACGGATGACTTCGGAATATCCTTTTATATGTTATTTTGTGAAGGGTCATTTTGTTACATCGAATTACACGTTTTAGGATTGTAAAACGTAAGACACGTATCGCGTGTTCGAAAGGAAACTTGAATCGTTCCTATTTGCTATAAATAATAATCTTTTTTCTAAAACGACAAATGCACGTAACTACATGTATGTACATGTACATGTAATTTAAAAAATTTGACATAACACTAAAAATTCAAATGTCGGGTACAATCGAGAAAATAAACCCTAATCTTCCAATCTACATTGAAAGATGTCAGAATCCGGATAACAGCCCAATCAATGTGGTGATAATGTTCGGATGGACGAATAGTAATCTTAAAAATGTTTCAAAAGTTGCGTCTTACTGGCGAAAGAGAGGAAACTTTCATATTATGTATTGGATTGCTCCAGCTTTTCCTTACATTTATTTCACTGGCAAGGCTACGCAAGCATGTGCTGCATTTATTCCGTATCTTCAAGAATTTGGTATCTTGCCAACCACAGGTGACGACGATGACTCTTTCCATAGTCGAATAAAACCAAAATTGATTGCGCACGCATTCTCAAACGGCGGTGCAACAGGCCTCGCTGGTCTTGCCGAATCATGCAGAATACAAAACCTTCCATTGCATTATTCTGCTTTAATCATCGATTCAGCTCCCGGAACCCGAAGCATCTTCACTTTTTATCGAATATTTACAGTCGCACAAAAAAATCCCATAAAGAAATTTTTTCTGGCAATCTTTGTTGAATCATTATTTTTGTTCATTGGGCTTCCGTCAATGCTACTTTATTCTCTTTTTACGGGTCAAAAGGGTCTCATAAAATTTTTTACGGATGTTTTGTTTGAACATAATTCCGTGAAAGATTCGCCCAGATTGTTCATTTATTCGAAAACTGATAAGTTGGTCCCTTCATCATCGATAGAAGAGGTGATAGCGAAAAGCGAAAGATTAAATGGTGATAAAACGAGAAAATTGTGTCTCGAGGAAAGTGATCATGTGAGGCATTGGGCTACGCATATGGAGATTTATGAGAAAGCCGTAGATAATTTTGTAGATGAATTTAATATACTTTGATTATGTATGTATGTATTAAAGAGAAAAAAACACCCTTTTGATCGGGTACATTATCTCTTATTGAATAAAGTTTATGTCAATTGGACTTAGACGACATATATTGATATAATCCATAACAATTCGCAATTTTTATGGAAACTTTTTACTTACTTCAACATCACAACCCAGAGAGTCTTTTTAGTTGCACGATATGTTGGCATTTTGAAAACTTTGGAGTTCTATCTCATTGTTTTAACAATTAGGTTAGCGATGAATTCTTCTATTGGCGAGCAAGTATTTTTCGTTAGAACACGCATTGGTAGAACGAATCAGCATATTCTTTTTCATTATACGAATGAATTCCCGGATATGAATCAGAATTTAGCCTCTAAAACTGGTGTGGATACAACTCGTATTTTTACGGTAACTTAAATACATAGAAACCTTTCTATTTACGAATTTTCAAGATAATGCACGATATTGTATTTCCTATTCAATTCTTGACTTTATCTATTGATAGCAAAAAGGTATTAAACATTTGAGACTTGTTCACTTCGTGATATATACATGTACTGACATAAAATAGTGCGTTATATGTACTACATGTAATTCAATTTGCAGAAGTATTATGGAGAAAAAGTACATAATTACGAATCATAAAATATTCTCACTTAAATGCAATGTACCAGTCGAACCAAAAAGCAATTTCAATAGAGTACATGTACAATGTATATCTAATTTTTACATGTTGTATTCCAAACGAAGGGGATATTAAGTACGGTATATAAAATTTTACATAAGCATGGTATTATATTTAAATAATCTTAAAGTTATCGTTATACGTGAAATTTTTCTGAGAGTCAACAATATTTCTAATGGTACATTGGAGATTAGATGATTCTATAATTTCTAACATTTACTAAAATATATGTAATAGTTACTAAATTACAATTCCATAATAAAGGAAAATGATACCGGCGCCAGTGGTTTATTTATGATTGTAACGTTAATATAATCCTGGATCGTGTATGTTCTAAGCAGAGGTGATAAACTCGTGCAACTTTTACTAACATTAAGTAAAATACAGTTATCAATTTCTTTTAATGAAACAGAATATTGTTCTAAGCTATCTAATAATATTCCTTATTCTCCTCGATTTCGTGTGGTATACTAATATCGAAATCTGTTTTATCACCAAAGAAAATAATAAAAATATTGAATTAAAGAAATCGATGAAAGTTAATGTCAAATGTAAGTTTACCTTCGTTTGGAACATACAAACTAACACTTGTAAAACCTAAATGTTTTGATATGTCTAAAGTAAGCAGAAATTTCATTCTCATTGCTATAAAAACAAATGTGTGTACCTGTATCAGTTGGGATTGTTATTAATTTTGAAGTAAACAGTCGACTTGTATAAATTGCATTTGAGTGGATTTGTTGTTTTTTGTTTCTATTCGTAGGAATGCTTTTTTGCGATTCCATCTCATCATCATGTTCTTTCAATTTCTGCCTATCTAGCTTAACACACTCTTTGATTTCTTCTTTTGTCTTAGGATATTCTAAAGAACTGTAGTACTGAAAATGCAAATTATTCAGTTTCCAATAATCTTCAATGTTAGAGAAGATAGAGTCGATAAAGTTATAAAGTTCTAGAGCAGTTGGTCTGTTTTCTGGAATAGGATCCCAACATTTTTCAACAATAAATTTGCACCATCCGGGAACATTATTTGGTATCGTAGGTCGTACTCCTTTATAAATGTCTAATACGAGTTGTATATTATGACTTTGTTCACCAAAAGGTCGTTCACCTGTTATTATCTCGTATACAATCATTCCAATACTATAAATATCTGCAGCTTTAGTGTATGGCTTTCCACTTAGTACCTCTGGACTCATATAAGGAAGTACTCCATAAATTTCTTTATTGGATTTTTCTATATTTGCTGGAATACTAAGTCCAAAATCAGCAATAATAGCAACAAGAATATTCAATATTAATATATTTCCAGGATGTAAGTCACGATGTACTAATTCCTCATTATGAATATCGTTTAGACTAGCGATAATCCACCATAAATGACCTAATTTTTGATTCCAAGTTAATTTTTTATAGTTGGAATAAATATATTTACGGAGATTGCCATCTTCTGCATAAGTCATTACTATTGAGTATTCGTTTATAGTTGGATTTTTAGTTATTCCATAATATTGAAGAAATTTACCAAAAGTGCATTTAAGAGCAATCTGAATCTATTGTTGAAAAATTTGATTGTATTAGAAAACAAAAGTAACTTTCACTTTATAGGATGTCATTTTTTACCTCATGCATAAACTCTCGAGTAATTTGCTTTGAATTGTGTAATGATTTCAACACAACTTTACTTTCTCCTCTTCGTTTAAATTTATTTTCTTCATGATCCCATCCTCCATAATTATCAAATGGTCCATCTAACCAGGTTGCTTTATAAATTTTTCCAAAACCTCCTTTTGCAAGATATTCAACGTTGGTAAATCTTTCAAAAGGAAT